TGGGGGAGGGCAGGGAGTGGCTGAGGGGAGCAGTGGCCCTGGGGCGGTCCCTGACTCCCTGTCTGCGTGTGCCCCAGACCGAGAAGGAGAACACCAGCTACGACATCGACACACTGCAGGACGAAGAGGGCGACCTGCTGGAGTTCCCAGGTCAGTCAGTGCCAGGCGCGGGCGTGGGCCGCATCGAGGGCAGGGAATTGGCTCTGGCCGCTGCAGCTGAATTCGCCAGGCATGTAGCAGGCCCCTGCACCGGTGTCCCCAGCTCTCCGGGGGGCCGGAGCTGCACTGGGTAGGGATGGGCCCCATGAGCGGCTCCCAGGGTACGTGGCCCCCGGCAGGCCTGAGCGTGTGCTGGCAAACGCCTGGGGAGGGTTTGCGTGGAGCACGTCGGCCAGGAAGAAGTGCCCTGCCGCGGCCGGGGGAGGGGCAAAAGCGAGTGGGCTTGTGACGGGTCTCTGGGGGGCCCGGGGCTGCTCTTTCAGGGGCAGAGCTGCTGCTGTCCAAGAAGACCCTGAGTCTGTCCGCGGAGGAGCTGGTGGCCACGCTCCAGGGCCAGGTGCAGTCGCTCACCTTGCAGAACAAGGAGCTGCTGGAGAAGATACAGGTACTGGCCCGTCTCCCCGGCAGCCAGGTGAAGGCCGCACCCGGGGGCACTCTCTGGGCCCCCTCCCCGAGCCAGCAGCTCCTCAAGGCCCCGGTTCAGGGCCGGGCGAAGCTGCTGCCTTGTGACGGACGTGGGCAGCAGGTTTCTCCCCCTCATGGGAAGTGAACCCCGGCCCATGCTTGTGTGCAGCTCAGCCCCTCCCCCCAGCTCTGTCTGTAGCAGGGATGTTAAATATCAGTTCATCGAATGTCGTGAATTCTTATCGGTTACTCGACTATTCTGTAGTCCCTGGGAGCGGGGCCGGCATCCAGTGCGCTCCGGCCCCACTGCTGCCTCTGGATCAGAGGCAGCAGCGCAGGGTGGCAGGCGGGAGCTGGACCATGAGGGAGCCAATTTAAAAACCAGCTCCCCTCACGGAGCAGCTGCCTGTCGCTCTGCACTGCCATCCCAGCGTCGGGGGCAGCAGCTCCTGTCCAGGGGGGTCTGAGCTCCCGGAACCGGCATGAGCCAGAACTGAGCCAGGCTGCCTGCCTGCCTAGCTCCTAATACACTTTAAATACAGAGCTGCAGCAGGGGTAGATCCCGGATTGAGCCGGATGGCTGGCCAGCCTGCGAAAACATTTACTGGCAAGGGGAAGGGGGGGAAATGAGTGTTGTCCATAGTAAGAATGTGAAGGGCTAGTCGACTGTCCAATAAGCAAATGCTTATCAGCTAGTCCGCAAGCTAGTCAGCTAGTCGCTTCCCTCCCTTGCTGTCTCTGTCAGAAAGAGGCAGGAACGGGGGGAAGAGGAAGGGGTACTTCACAAAGAGCCTGCGGCCAGCCGGGGTATCCCCAGGCTGCACGTGGCGTGTGGAACCTGGGATCAACTGGAGACTCCCCCACTGACCCCAGGCTCCGTGCAGCGCTGCCACTGTGAAATGCCGCGAGGAGCCCGGCGTCAGGCTCCCTGCGGCATTTCAAAGAGGCAGCGCCGCGTGGAGCCCGGGATCAGCTGGCCACGTGGCGCTTTCGCCTTTGAAGTGTAGCAACAACCCTAGGGCTGTTGCTGCTCTTCAAAGGCGGAGGTGCCCTATCGACTAATCCAATAGTCGATGCAAAAATGCATCGACTATTCGATTAGTCAGTTAGTCGATACTTAACATCCTTAGTCTATAGCATTAACCGATAAGCTTTTGCTTACCGATTCATCAACTGCACTATTACAGCCTGTGTCTGTAGCAGAGGCTGTCGGCAGCTTGCAACATTCCTGCCACTGCCCCTGCTCTATCTTGGTGGGGGTCCCAGGCTAGACCCTCTGGTTCCCTGGCGCCCGTTGCTGTTCTGCTTCCCAGAGGCAGAGAGCCCCCGCCTGCGTGTGCAGAGCCCTGTGCCTGGCTGGCTCCCTGCCTCGTACGACCCGGCTCGCATGTGCTAGGAAGACCTGCCAAAGTCACGTTCTGGCCTCTTCTCTGTTCTCCCCCTGCCTGCCCCACCCGGGCAGTGTCACTGTGCGAGGGCAGTTCCTGGCCTCGGGTGCGGGCTTTCCACGGGGCTTCCCTTTGCCAGCTCCTACAATTCCAGTCTGTCCCCCTTTGCCTTGTGCTACCCCTCGGCTCCACAACCCTGCTGTTTAACCCTGACTCGGTCTGGTAGCCAAAACTAGAGGGCCTGATTCTTGTCCCATGCTGGTATAAATCAGGGGTATCTCATGGCAAAGGCCCAGGACTGGGGTAAAGTTTGGAAGGAGAGGCCAGGCCCTAGGAAACATCTATGGCAGCAGTTCTCAACTTGTTTCAGTCCACGGACACCCAGGCCAATCAAAAAGTTTTCATGGACCCACCTCCTTTTTGAGACATGATAAGAGCAGCCAACGAACATTTTGGTTTGAAATTTATTTCTTACTAACAGATTTTTGGGGGCTGCCCACACTGTGTGACTTTGGACAATGTTCCTGTGGACCCCAGAAAAAGTCACCATGGACCACCAGTTGAGAACCACAGATCTATGGGGACAAGAGCTATGGGGCAGGAGAGCTGGAGAGGGTGGGGGGTGAGATACACAGTGGGGTGCTGCTGTAATACTCCTGTGGAGCGGGAGCTCAGGGTCCCCGTGAGGGAGTCTCACGTTTGATCCCCTCCCTTGGCAGATCCTGGAGAATTACGAGAAAGATGAGAGCGACATGGTCCTGTCAGAAGAGCTCGTCCCCGTCGCCCTCTACGATTCCCTCCGGTCGGAGTTCCAGCGGCTCCAGGGCCAGCACGCCGAGGCCCAGGCTGCATTGGGAGCTCTGGAAGGCAACGGGCCCCACAGGGCCTCCTGCGAGCTCGTCCCGGTGGAGGCATACGAGCAGCTGAAGGCTGGATACGAGGCGCGGATCCAGGCCCTGGAGGAGGCGCTACACAGGAGCCGGGGCCCAGCCGAGCCCGAGGGGAGGGGCCAGGAGCTGGGCTGGGCCGGGGTGGAGGCAGGCGGAAGCAGTGGGGAAGGAGGAGCTGGAGATGCGGCGGTGGAGGAGCTGGCCAGCGTGCTGGCAGAGACGCGGGAGAAGTACGAGGCGGCGGTGGCCGAGGTGCAGCTCCTGCGGGAGCAGATGCAGCTGGGCATCCTGTCTGTGGAGGAGCCGGTGGGGGAGAGTGCCGGGAGCGAGCTGGAGATGGCGAGGGCGGCTCTGCAGGAGGCCCAGGCGGCCCTGTTGGAGAGAGACCAGAGGCTGAAGGACCTGGAGGGGCGCCTGGAGGCCCAGGAAGAGGCGTCCAGTGGCGGTTGCTGCGCCGAGGAGATGAAGGCGTCCCTCACCTTTACCTTGGAAGCCGCCACTGAGGAGAGGGCCGCGCTGCTGGCGAGGTGCAGCCAAGCGGAGGCCGGAGCAGAGGCGCTGGGGACCCCACCTTTCCTTGGGAAGCCGCCACTGAGGAGAGGGCCGCGCTGCTGGCGAGGTGCAGCCAAGCGGAGGCCGGAGCAGAGGAGCTGAGGAGGAACCTGGAGGAGAGGGCCGGGGAGCTGCAGCAAGCAATGAGCCGCCTGGCAGAGAGCCAGCAGTGGGAGGAGGAGAGCCGGCAGCTCCGGGAGCAGCTGGAGGAGCTGAGCGGGCAGTACGAGGAGGCGCGGGCCCGGCTCCGGCAGCTCCACATGGATCACGGCCAGAAGCGGAGGCCGGAGCAGAGGAGCTGAGGAGGAACCTGGAGGAGAGGGCCGGGGAGCTGCAGCAAGCAATGAGCCGCCTGGCAGAGAGCCAGCAGTGGGAGGAGGAGAGCCGGCAGCTCCGGGAGCAGCTGGAGGAGCTGAGCGGGCAGTACGAGGAGGCGCGGGCCCGGCTCCGGCAGCTCCACATGGATCACGGCCAGAAGGAAGTGGAGCTGAACGCCCTGAAGGAGCAGCTGGCCTCTGAGAGCCTCTCCAGGCAGGAGCAGGAGGAGCTGGCAGGGAAGCTGAGCGGGGCGCTGGCCGAGGCCAGCAAGAAGCTGCTGGAGCTGGAGGAGCAGCATGGCGCTGCCCGGCGGGAGGTGGCGGAGCTGCAGCAGGCGGCGGAGCGCCACAGGCGGGAGTCGGTCCCGCTGGCCGAGCACGCCCGAGCCAAGGAGGCCCTGGAGGCCAGAGCCCGGCGCCTGGAGCAGGAGCTGGCTGCCAAAGCCCAGGAGGCCTCGCAGCTGCAGGGCGAGCTGGCCAGCATGCGGGAGGGCACGGTGCCCAGGGAGGAGCACGAGCAGCTGCGGAGCAGCCTGCAGGCCGAGGTGACCGCGCTGAGCCTGAAGCTGAGCGACCTGGGGCGCAAGCACGAGAAGACGTGCACGGAGGTGTTCCAGGTGCAGCGCGAGGCCCTCTTCATGAAGAGCGAGAAGCAGGCGGCCGAGGCCCAGCTGGCCGCCACGGAGAAGCAGCTGCAGAGCCTGCGGGCCGAGTCCGAGAGGATCCAGGAGCTGCACGGCCGCATCGAGGACTCGGCCAACCTGGTCAAGGAGAAGGACAGGAAGGTGGGTCTGGGCTTCCCCGTCACCACGCCCACGCTGGAGCCTGCTCAGATATGGGAGCGGGGATCCTAGCGCCCAGTAGAGCAGTATTTCTGAAACTTTTTAAGACCAGGGAACACCAAACAATTATTTTTTTGAACACCAAGGACTTTTTGTTGAGCAAAAAAAAACCAAGAGTCCGGGGAAAAGTTATTGAGCAAAAAAAATAGGGTCACTGGGGAAAAGTTATTGAAGGGAGAAAAAAAAGTCACCTGTCCCTTTAAGGGTGGCCATTTTGAACTCTGTTGTTCTCCGTGGCACACCTCCGACTGCCTCGCGGCTCCCCAGTGTGCCACGGAACACAGTTTAAGAAACACTGCGGGAGAGCCCCAGGATCGGGGGACCGAGGTGAGGCTGGAGATCCCAGCCCATGATAGAGCTGTGTGTGGGGGGAGGGTGAAGGGTGGGTCGGGGGGTCCCATACCGCGACAGAGCCACGGCAGAGGCATTGGTGACCCCGTCATGCTCTGCATACAGAGCCACGCTAGAAGGTCTCACTAGCTGTGGCCCACAACTTCTGGGGACTGTTTTACTGGCAGAAGGGAACTTTTCTTTTCTTTTCCATGGGAAATTTTCATTTTGGTTGCAGATTTTTCAGTTTCCTTACGCGTGTGTTTCGAGGGGGGAATGCCACTGTCTGGCTCTTCTTCCTGCGAGGCAGAAGGTGCAAAAGAGGTTATGAGGAGGGGGGGCAGTTCTCTCCATTGAAACGAAACCAAACTTTTCATAGGTTTGGTCACAGAGTGGAAAATGCCCAAGAAAACAAAGGGACAAATCATTCGTCACCACTGGTGACAGAAGAGACCAGCTGACCTTCCCACCGGCTCTAGTAGGGACAGTGGGAGATGACTGAATATGAAGCTGGAGATGAGTCAACAGGGTGCCCTTGTAGCCAAGAAGGCTAATGGCATATTTGGATGCATTAGAAGGAGCATTGCCAGCAGATCCAGAGAAGTGATTATTCCCCTTTATTTGGCTTTGGTGAGGCCATGTCTGGAGTATTGTGTCCAGTTCTGGGCCCCCCACTATAGAAAGGATGTGGATGCATTGGAGAGGGTCCAGCGGAGGGCAACCAAAATGATAAGGAGGCTGGAGTGCATGACCTATGAGGAGAGACTGAGGGATTTGGGTTTGTTTAGATTGCAGAAGAGAAGAGTGAGGGGGGATTTGAGAGCAACCTTCAACTTCCTGAAGGGAGGTTCCAAAGAGGATGGAGAGAGGCTGTTCTCAGTGGTGACGGTGGCAGAACGAGGAGCAATGGTCTCAAGTTGTGGTGGGAGAGGTCCAGGTTGGATATTAGGAAAAACTATTTCCCTAGGAGGGTGGTGAAGCACTGGGCTGGGTTCCCTAGGGAGGGGGTGGAATCTCCATCCCTAAAGGTTTTTAAGTCCTGGCTTGACACAGCCCTGGCTGGGTTGATTTAGTTGGGATTGGTCCTGCCTTGGTTCTATGAGTCTCTCACTGGCCAGCAGGGACTTCTGCTTCAGAACTGGTTGGACACCTCGGATCTAGCTCATCCCTGACAGGTGTGTGTCCAACCTGCCCTTAACTATCTCCAGAGATGGAGATTCCACAACCCCCCCAGGCAACTTATCCCAGTGTTTAACCACTCTGACAGTTGGGAAGTTTTTCCTAATGTCCAACCTAAATCTCCCTTGCTGCAGCTTAAGCCCCTTGCTTCTTGTCTTGTCCTCCAAGATCAAAGAGAACAATTTTTCCCCCTCCTCCTTGCAACACCCTTTTAGGTACTTGAAGGCCAAGGTCTGAGACCTGTGGCGGGTGCATGCTGGGGACCTGGGATTTTGAATCCGTCGTGCTGCTGCGTGTCCCGTAATCCTGCAAGGCTTTGCCCTCGACTCGAGCCTGCTCCGGTGAACTCGGCCAGCCCTTCGTGACCCACCGGTCCCTTTGCCTTTGCAGATCACGGAGCTGTCCAAGGAAATCTTCAGGCTGAAGGAGGCTTTGACCAGCCTGTCTGTGCTCTCTGGCCAGGGGGGAACCCCGCCCCAGGCAGCCCCGCAGAACCCACAGGAGGTGGCAAAGCTGCAGAGCACAATAAAGGCCCTGGAGCAGCAGCTGGCCGTGCGTATCCGGGACCAGCTGGGCGAGGGGAGGAGCAAAGCCCACCACCGAGAGAGTCCCATGGGCTTGGTGGTGCTAGTCCCCTGATGGGGCCACAGGGGCTAGATGCTGAGTGAGGCAGCGCTTAAGGCTGAGTCTGGAAACTGACATGCAGCTTAGGAGCAGGGGAGAAGCTGCAGAGCCGTTGGGACAGCTGCTTCAAGGGCCCTGTTCCCAAAGTGCAGAATAGGCTCCTAATTCCCCTGGGAGTTGGGCTCCTAAATACCATTAAGGATCGAGGCCGATGCCTTCTGCCCCTGGTCACAGGAGAGGCCCAGTGGTAACCCCTGTGCTAAATCTTTGTACCGCACCGAGGTTGCTGCTTTCGCTGGGTGCCACAAGGGGAGTGAAACTGGTTCCCCTGGGCTGTGTCTGGTGTGTGAGCAGGACCCGATTCCCCCAGCTCCGTGCTGTGTCAGGCAGGGGGGGTGGGAGGTTGGTCAAAGCGGCCATGAGCAGAGTGGCCCGGTCCTGTTGGTTCCATAATGTGACCCTCGCTCGCACCTTGGTTCCAGGAGACAGAGAAGCACCATCGCAAGGTCGTCTCCCTGTACCGGAGCCACCTGCTCTGCGCCATTCAGGTGAGTGTGCGGGGGCTGGGCTGGGCGCACCGCATCACGTTGTGGTTGGGAGGGGTGTTTGCTGTCCTCTGTGGGTGTGTACAGATAGAATTGTGGGTGTGTCGGAATCGGTACAATTGTATGTCCCCGCACACTTGGGTGTGTCTGTATAAGTGGGTATGTTTGCACACGTGTCAGTGGGCGGGTGTCAGTATAACTGGGTGTTTGCACATGAGTGTCTGTGTAAATGTGTGTGTTTCCACGTGCGTGTGTCTGTATAAGTGGGTGTGTGGGGGGGTGTATTGTCTGAGCATTTCAGAGGGTGGTTCGTAGGCCTGTTTGCACTGACAGAAACGACATCTCTTCCTCCCCCCACTCCCACCCCTGCCCCATAGCATTTGAAGGACGCAGCTTTGGAATTGCCCCACTCCTGGGAGGTGGCCATGGGGAACTCTGGCTTGTTCCTAGGAGCTCGGGCAGGAGTTGGGAGGAAGGGCAGAGAGTTTGGGTGCACTGGACAGGAGCTGGCAGGTCGTGATGGGTGGAAGGATACTTGTGCAGAACGCTGGAGCCTGTGTATGTGTGTGCGTGTGTGCGTGTGAGAACACTGGAATGTGTGTGTGTGTGAACACTGGAGCCTGTGTGTGTGTGTGTGTGTGTGTGTGTGTGTGTGTGTACATGTATGCACATCTGCGTGCACGTCATGTTCCTGCTCCTCACCAGTGTGTGTGTCTGCCTGGGACGTGCTGCGTGCTGGAAGCGTGTGGTGCACACCAGGCGATCTCTGCGTGTCCATGCCCGGGGCGTGCAGCGTGTCCCAGGTGCGTGTGTCCGTGACCATGTAGGGGCAAAGCAGAGACTCCAACACAGGAACAGCCTTTTTCTCCTCCGTCTGTGCTCCTGAAACGTAGCACTGGGCCGAAACCAGCCTGCAGCTCTGAACACCGGGGCCTCAGCTGGGATCTGGCACTGAACTTGCCTCCTGAGCCCGTTTCTAGCAGAACTAAGGAATTCTCTGTCTGACCCTCCGGCCGTGGCCGAGTGCTCCTGCCTTGGGTGCGAGGAGGGGCCCGTCCCCCGCCCTGGGTTTGGCGCAGGGCTCTGGGCTTTGCTCAGCTCGGAGAGCTGCCCTGGCTGCCAGGACCCACCACGGCTGCTGCCTGCTTTGGTCCTAGCCAGAGGGAGCAGGGGGGCTGGCCGGGGGGGAAGGCGCCTGCCATTCCCCTTCCCCATCCCCCCCTCCATCTTCCTCCCCTTTGCAGGGCCACATGGACGAAGACGTGCAGAGACTCTTGTACCAGATCCTGATGATGCAGCGGCTGCAGGAGCAAGGCAGATGAGCGCCCAGGGCGAGGGAGCACGGCCCAGTGCCCGCCGGGGTGGACTCGCACACAGCACCCGTGGCCCGCCGGCCCTTTTTGCCCACCCCTCCTCGCCCAGCGCAAGGCCTGCATGGATCGGGTGACCACGGGGGGTGGCGCCTTTGTACCTTTGCACCCAGCTCCTGGGCCGTGTGTGCTGGGAGGTGCCTCATGGCAGGGCCAGGGCTCACTCTGCCCTCTCCTTGGGGCATTGACCTCCGCAGCCTCTGAGGGGCCAGGGGAGGCAGGCACCGGGCCGGGACACAGCACGGACCGGCGTGGCTCCGTGGGCAGCAGGGGGCCGTGCAGGGGCGAAGCAGCGTCACTCACCAGCTCCTGCCTGCGTCTCTCGGCAGAGCAGCCACAGCAATAAACCGTTTGTACTCACTCTGCAGAGGCTGGCCGGCTTTCCTGCGGGGGGAGGGGCACGTGGGGGGGCTTAGCCCAGAGCTGGTGCCACGAGAATGGAGGAAGTTGTTGGGCAGACAGTCCGGCTCCTCCGGCCCTGCAGCACCTGCTGTTCCAGGGACACGCCTGGGAAGGGGAGCCCCCCCCCCCCCCACACACATCTGGGAAGGGGAGTTGCCTTTTCCCTCCAGACACATCTGGGTAGGGGAGTCCCCCCTCCCCCACACCTGGGAAGGGGAGTCGCCGCCCCCTCCGACACACCAGGGAAGCTGAGTCCCCCCCCCCAGCCCACCTGAGAAGGGGAGTCACCCTCCATTCCCAAACACACCTGGGTAGGGGAGTCGCCGCCTCCTCCGACACACCAGGGAAGCTGAGTCCCCCCCCCCAGCCCACCTGAGAAGGGGAGTCACCCTCCATTCCCAAACACACCTGGGTAGGGGAGTCGCCGCCTCCTCCGACACACCAGGGAAGCTGAGTCCCCCCCCCCAGCCCACCTGAGAAGGGGAGTCACCCTCCATTCCCAAACACACCTGGGTAGGGGAGTCGCCGCCTCCTCCGACACACCAGGGAAGCTGAGTCCCCCCCCCCAGCCCACCTGAGAAGGGGAGTCACCCTCCATTCCCAAACACACCTGGGTAGGGGAGTCGCCGCCTCCTCCGACACACCAGGGAAGCTGAGTCCCCCCCCCCAGCCCACCTGAGAAGGGGAGTCACCCTCCATTCCCAAACACACCTGGGTAGGGGAGTCGCCGCCCCCCCGACACACCTGGGTAGGGGAGTCGCCCTCCCCCTCCAGACACACCTGGGAAAGGGGTTTCCACCTGGGAGTCAAAACACCTTCATTAAAAAGGGAAGTTTGTGCTGTCCCAACAGATCTAGGCCCCTGGAGTCCGGGCTCTGCCCTGATGCTTTGTACTTGCTGAGGCCTGGACTCACAAGTCCCGCGTGCTGGGAGCCTGACCCCGCCCCCACTGGGGTCAGAGCGATCTTGCCCCTGGCTTGTGCAGGGCAGGATCCAACCCTGGCAAGCAACAGGCCTCCGATAACCCGTCGCTGCCTTTTCCTCAGCCCTTGCTTGAAAAGCTCTTTGCTCAGCTGGGCCTAGACCAGCTGAGCCACCCCCAGCTGCCCCCTCGTCCCCAGAGACCAGGGCATGTGCACCCCAGCCCCCCCATTCTCTCTGGGCTTCACGCTCCCTCCCGGCGCTGTTCCAGGGCCCCGCCTTGCCGGGACAGGAGGGGCCGAGTGGGTTTTGTGGTTGGTTCCACGCTGTCTCCGGGAAGCCTGGTGGGAAAGGCTGGTGAATTTCCTGAGCGCTGTGTGTGCGCGGAAGTGAGCCGCGGCCGTGCTGAGGTCAGACGGGGACTTCGCTTCCCGAGGCTGCTGCAGTCGCCTCCGGTTGGGAGCGGAGCCGGGCGCGTCGGGTGAGTCGCTTGTTCCCGCTGCGCTTTGGGACAGGGGCTGGCTCAGGGGCTGTTGTGCTTCTCCATTGTGTTTGCTGCCTTTCGTGCCCTCCTCCGTGCCAGGGAGAGGGGCGGGTAAAACACCCTTGTGGCATCTAGCCTAGCTCAGAGCCGCTGCCAGCCCCTCGAGCGCAGGGGTGGAGTTGCTGGGGTGGTGGCCAGTAAGAGATGCTCCCTAAATCTCCGGGTCAAGCCTAGGTCACCAGCTGTTTGGAACCGGCAGTAACAGCAAACAGCTTGGATCTCGTGGCTGCGTGAAATCAGCCGCGGGGTCTCAGCTCCGTGCCAGAGAAAATCCCCCCCCACAACCACCACCACTGGCCCTCCTGACAGATAGGCAGCATGGTCTAGTGGCCAGAGCAGGGGACTGGTCTTGGGCAGACCACCTAACATGCCCCGTCACTTACCCCTTGCCTCAGGCCCCCTGCCCGTAAAACAGGAGGGATCAGACCCTCCTTGCCAGAGGAGCTAAAACTCCTGAGGGAGGGTGAGGCTCTCGGACACATCCACTCTCCCCCGGGCAACGTTCTCTCGAAGCTTTTCTATCCGTGTGCGGATTTTTTCCATCCACGTGCGGAATAAATTTTATGTGCACTGAGGCATGTGCACCGCATAGGTGGGGGGCGCTCTGCTAGTCAGCTGGGCAGCACTGGAATCTCTCCAGAGTGGCTGCACTAGCACACGGCTTACAGGGAACACCGGTAGGGAGGAAAGTAAGGGTACGTCTAGACTGCGGTGCTATTTTGGGATATTGGAAGTATCCTGAAATAGCAATGCCATGTCTTTAAACATGTTCGTGCCCTCCTCCGTGCCAGGGAGAGGGGCGGGTAAAACACCCTTGTGGCATCTAGCCTAGCTCAGAGCCGCTGCCAGCCCCTCGAGCGCAGGGGTGGAGTTGCTGGGGTGGTGGCCAGTAAGAGATGCTCCCTAAATCTCCGGGTCAAGCCTAGGTCACCAGCTGTTTGGAACCGGCAGTAACAGCAAACAGCTTGGATCTCGTGGCTGCGTGAAATCAGCCGCGGGGTCTCAGCTCCGTGCCAGAGAAAATCCCCCCCCACAACCACCACCACTGGCCCTCCTGACAGATAGGCAGCATGGTCTAGTGGCCAGAGCAGGGGACTGGTCTTGGGCAGACCACCTAACATGCCCCGTCACTTACCCCTTGCCTCAGGCCCCCTGCCCGTAAAACAGGAGGGATCAGACCCTCCTTGCCAGAGGAGCTAAAACTCCTGAGGGAGGGTGAGGCTCTCGGACACATCCACTCTCCCCCGGGCAACGTTCTCTCGAAGCTTTTCTATCCGTGTGCGGATTTTTTCCATCCACGTGCGGAATAAATTTTATGTGCACTGAGGCATGTGCACCGCATAGGTGGGGGGCGCTCTGCTAGTCAGCTGGGCAGCACTGGAATCTCTCCTGAGCGCCCAGCTCATAGGGAACACTGCCCCCAGGGGAAGGGCAGCAGGGCTGGGAAGGAGAGAAGAGGCTGTGAACAAGAGCCCTAGGAACAGAACAGCTGCCCTGGAAGCTGCTGTCCACATGGGCCCTGCCTCCCTGGGCACTCGCCCCTAGCTCTGAATTCACCCCACTAAACAACAGAGCTCTGGGCCCACGGGGAACCTTCATGCCAAGCCCTACGGTTTAGCTCACCCTGCCCAGCAGCAGGTCCCAAAGGGCAATGTCATCGCCCCTATTGTACAGCTGGGGAAACTGAGGCACGGAGCAGGGGCGTGACTTGCCCAAGGACACTCTGCAGGCCAGGGTCAGCGCTCAGGGCTCGGTGCTCTAACTACTAGGACAGGCTGCCTCCAAGTGCAGTTTCACCGAGAGCAGATGGTGTCAGCCAAAAAAATCCCCTTTTCTGTCCCTGCCTTGCTGGGCTGCCAGGAAAACGAGCCGATCTCACGGTGGTTCTTGTGCCCTCGCGTGTCCCTGGGTGGGTCCGATCCTGGCCCCCCTAGCAGGGGGTGCTGGGTCCTTCCTTTTCCAAACAGCCTGGAGGGGCACTGCTCAGGCCCAGGGCCAGGACGGGGGAAGCCCTGCTGAGATTTGCCCCGCACTCACCACTCTAGCTCCCACTTAATGTTTCCTTCTGGGCAGCGCCACCCCTTCCCTTGGACCTGTTAACCCCGTGGGTGCTGGAAAGAGCCAGCAGGGCCTTGGCCTCCGGTGGAGAAGGGTTTAAATGGCAGATCTAGGGCTCAGGCTGGTCCAAAACCCCTGCTGTGCTCCAGCTCCACTTCATAGCATCCTCCCTCCCAGCCCGGCCTCTGTCTCTTCCCCAGGAGATGCTGCAGGGCCCTCGGGTGGGGGGCAGGCCAGCGGGGCAAGGGGCTTGCCACAGCAGGGACCAGCTTTGCCCTGGGGCCTGACCCCAATGGGAGCTGTGTGGGGCG